CACATTTTTTTTATATTGGATGCATTTTTATATTTGATTATATACATTATACTGTAAGAGCTACGGGAACAGAATTATAGATAGCCCCATAAGTAATAAATTCTATTATTCTTTTATTGCAAACACTGTCTAAATGTATTAGTGCAGATACATGAACCACAGTGGTGGGATTCAAATAATTTAACAATCGGTTCTCTGCCCTAATGACCAGTTTGGTAGGTGGGGATCGATGGTCATGTGACTGGGTGGGTGTGGCCAACTCAAGGTCACTCAGGTCGATGGGCGCTTCGCCTTAGCTGTTACAATGTCATAAGGGTTAACCGAAGAGGCAGTTTCTGTAAGCAGGGCAATAAAGGTTAGGATAGAAAAATACCAGAATGTTTCCTTCCTGCCTTCCTTACAGGATTAGCCCTGTAAAGTGGGAAAAAACAAAAGATTTCTTCCAACAACCAGTTCTCTGAACTGCTTAGAAAGTTACCAACTGGTTCTCCCGAATAGGTGCGAACCGGCTGAATCCCACCACTGATGCACCACCACGTCACTAGAATTCAAGATAGCCCGTTTCTGATTGACTCTACGTCACATCAAGATAGAACAGGCCTTAAATTAATCAACATTATAAAGAATCTTCAGCAGTCTTACCTGAATGAATAAGTAGTACAATTAGTCTTAGGCTTACGACCATTCGCTCAGCAACTGTTCAAAGACGCAACGGTGATGAACAAATAGTGTCTATGATCAATCCTCAGAGTTCTGACCTTCACAGCACTCCTGTTGTCTTGTGCTTGCGATCTGGGAGATTGTCAATTGATTCGCACTTGTGACCAGTTGCAGCATCTTACAGTCACATGATCACCATTTGCAGCCTTTGCAAATTTCCTTGCAAAGGAAATTGCAAGTCACTGGGATAAGTCTCTCTCTCACCCATCCATCCTCCCCTAGTCTCTCTGCACTTGTGCTACACTGTCAGTCACCGTGCATTCCCTTGAACCCCCATGTACCCTTCTCAACCCAACACCACATCTTTGCCTGGCTAACAACCATGGTGTTGTTGTGATGAAGAAATGACTCACAGGCAGGAAGAAGTTTAATGGGAAGGCACCCCGAACAGCTTGTGAGAGCTCCCTTTTTATTGTCATAAAACAGTTTACGTGGCAGAAACTGATTCATTGATCAAAGGACGTTTGTACTGATTGGATTAGCTAGACAAAGTCCAAACTATGGTTAACAATGTGGACAGTTAATGAGCAGCTCATGGTTTCCTGTTGCAAGTGATGTAATATGCCTATGTGCCAAATCTCATGTCCCACACTTATTAAGGAAGGATCAGATTAATGATCATTGTGCTGAGTTGCATCCCTTGGGCTTCATACTTATTAAGGAAGGATCATTGTGCTGACAGTTGTATTTCTCAGCATGGTTTGCCAGCTACTGAGAAAAGCAAGCATCCCCACTCCATGGGATTTGGCTAATGGTGGTAATTGGGACTACATCACTCAGTAATGGAAATTCTGGACCCAATTTCGGTTATAATTTGAGGACTACCTATAGCACGTTTCAAAGACAGACCACTAAAGATTAGCTTTATTGGCACTTCTTCAAATCAGACCAATTAAAAATTCACCTGGGGAGATCCAATCGGAACTGGCTTTCTAGAATTCTAGTGACTTGGTTCAATTAGAGAATAGTTGCTTACAAATAGAAGTTCCAGATCGCAGCCTGTGGAATAGATCACTTTGCCTCTGAAGATGCCAGCAATACTTGAAAAAGTATGGATACGTGAAAAGTCAGGATACCAGAAAATTAGATTATTAGTCAGAATCTCATCACTGTTGGACCAAGCCTAGATATTTATGGAATTGAAACTAAATGAAGATGAGCTATGAAAAAGCAATTGACAGAAAGGTTAAATACTATTCTCTAGGAAGGAAATGGGGCAAACTAGTATCATATGCTGATTTAATATATTTACTTAGTTCTTTTATTAATGTATGGGGTTTTTTTTAGTTCATAGACTAAATTATATTTTTAAAAAGGTACAATCTCATTATTTCATAGTATCTTGGGGCAACGTTTGGAAATCATTTGCTGTTTCCTGCTTCTAAAATTATTTTTGTTGTTGTTTGCCTTCTACCTTAGTCTGGGTTTTTCTAACAAATCCTTATCCAAGTGTTGTAGGAAATGACGAGACACAAAAATTTATTTGCGCAGGTTCAAAGCAAAGAATAAATGGCCTGAATCCCAAGTGAATTTCAGGAACTTCCTTATATAGTTTATCACTTCCAGCCAAAGCCATTTGTTAGTTTTGGAAACACCCCTCAAGATTTGCCCTTGAGTTACAGCAATATTANTGATGCCTGGCCCCCTCCAGGAGATGCGTCCAGGCCTCAAATGCCAACTTGATAGCCAGCAACTCCTTCTCCCAGATGGTGTAATTGCGCTCGTAAGGATTGAGTTTCTGTGAGTAATAAGCGCAAGGGAAAAGGGTACCATCAGGGGCGTGATCCTGCAGTAACACCGCACCCACCGCGATGTCAGACACGTCCACCTCCACCACAAATGGACGCTGGGGATCAGGGTGCTTCAGGATCGGCTCCTTCGTGAAGGTGTGCTTCAGGGCCTCGAACGCCTGTTGCTCCGTGGGCCCCCAGCGAAACGGCACTTTCTTTTGCAGGAGCCGAGTGAGGGGCACGGTCAAGAAAGCAAAGCGGGGGATGAAGGTAATAGTTGGCAAACTCGAGGAGTCTCTGAACATCCTTCATACGCCGAGGAGGTTGCCAACTGTGCAACGCCTCCACCTTGCCCGGCTCCATCGCAATTCCCTCAGGGGAGATACGGTGCCCCAGGAACTCGATGGTAATCTGCCAGAACTGACACTTCTCCAGCTTTGCGAACAAACGATGCTCACGAAGTCATTGCAAAACCAGGCGCAAATGTTGTTGATGATCCTTCCGAGACGTCGAGTAGATCAAGATGTCATCCAGGTAAATGACAACAAACTGATCCAAGAGGTCCCGGAAGATATCATTCATGAAGTGTTGGAAGACTGCCGGCGCATTGGTCAACCCGAACAGCATGACCGTGTACTCGAAATGTCCATACCGGGTGCCAAAGGCAGTCATCCATTTGTCCCCCGCCCTGACTCGGACCAGGTTATAAGCCCCAGGCAAGTCCAGTTTCATGAACACCGTCGCCTCCCAGGGCCACTCCAACAACTAAGGAATCAGGGGCAGCGGGTAACGGTTATGCACCGTGATGGCATTCAGGCGACGGTAATCGCAACAAAGTCTCAGATCCCCGGTCTTCTTTTTCATGAACAAAACCGGAACAGACAGTGGTGAAGACGACTGATGGATAAAACCCCGGGCGAGGTTCTTGTCTAGAAACTCCCGCAGGACTTTGTTGTAGGAAATGACGAGACACACAAGCCAGCTCTTTAGAGAAGGAAAAGTTTATTTGTGCAGGTTCAAAGCAAAGAATAAATGACCTGAACCCTGAGTGAGATTCAGGAACTTCCTTATATAGTTTATCACTTCCAGCCAAAGCCATCTGTTAGTTTTGGAAACACCCCTCAAGATTTTCCCTTGAGTTACAGCAATATTATGTCTACAGGATGTCATAATACATGGTTCAGCCAACGGACATGCATAGCTCGTATTTTGAGGAACTAACAATATATGTCTACTAAACGAATTATCGGCCAAGCAAGCACATGGGCTAAAATAGATCCTTCGCTTCAGCGTATTTCATATGCAGACTTCCTTTCTTGCTGACTAATAACTCGTGTCTAACCACACTATATCCTAAAAGCAAACTTTGCAATTTCTATATGAACAGTTAAAGCTTAATATCATGAAACCCTAGTTTGGTTCAGGCTTGAGGCCTACTTTGGTTCAGCCTGCCACCTTAATGTGGCCAACTCCGGCTCGGACATGGAGTACAGGCGACCCGTAGGAAGCTTCGCATCTGGTACCAGGTCAATGGGACAGTCATAAGGCTGGTGCGGCAGCAGTTGATCCGCCTCCTAATCGCTGAAGACATCTGCAAACTTCGCTAAATCTGGCGGCACGGCCACCCTGGGTGAGCTGAGCACCTGGCCTGCACAGACGTGACGGGTGTGGTCGACACATTGCAGGGACGGGAACGTGATCAGGTTC